TATCTGTAGGCATCTCGGAAGGTTTGGGAAAAAAATAAATAAAAACGAAGAATATTTCACCTGAATAACTTTAAACATCAGTAGCCTAATACGCGGCAAATGAACAAATTGATAACTGGATATGTAGATCTATATCTTGCTGATATCATAGGCCTATAAACATTGTGCCTTATGTTGCTTTCATTAGAACGTTGTGAACTCGGACTAGATTTTCTTCCTCGATTTCCACAAGTAGTGTGGAAAATGTAAGTGGAAATGCAACACAAACGAGCAGAGGTCCTTATTGCAATTTAAGTAATATTATTTCAGATTTAAAAAAAGTGTTTTTTGTACGTTCTATTAGCAACCTTATGATTTGCACTATATAACGTTTATGAATGCACTTTACAGATTTAAGTGCTCTTTTACATAGGCTAAACCTATTAGGCCTACCAAGGTATTATCGCCCACACACAATAGACATGATAAGCATGCACTATGATTTTAGCGTTCGTGAATGTATGCACTCTTCTCGTGTTCTCGCATTTTACAAGTTGTGAAATCAGTTTTCACAAGTTCTAATGAACGCATCATTAATAAAAATACTGTACATTACATACCATATATGAAGAGGGGCCTTTCCAGAAAATCAATGCCCCGTTCATACATTAAAATGAGCAAAAAAATCCATGTGTGGTACTGTCTCTTATACACATCTAGATGTGTATAAGAGACAGGGGTGGGCCGGGGAGGGCCGGGGAGATAGGAAGGAAGGACTGTGTGGCCACATACAATACTGTAGCATTTGAGCTGGATGATGGCTTCAATAGAAGAGGCATTATACGATACCTTTGGGAAAAGAAGACTTACTACAGTATGGGATGAAATGGCATGAGAGGGAGCATAATATCTGTTCCCATACTAGAATTTAATTTGAAGAGTAAACCTTATCAGAGAGCATTACAAGGCATGTTATTTTTAAAATCGATATGTGCTTTAAGATACAGTACGCTACACTGTATGCAACCTCGGTAATGATAAAGAAGGTTACATTTGGCAACAGCTAGAGATACTCACCATTACCGAGATAGTGATAGTACAATATTCCTAGCCACTGCCTTTCAAAATGACATTGTATTTGACTGCAAGCATATTATTTACCACCCTATTTAAACCCGTGGATCTTCTACTGCAATAAATAACCATACAATCAATACTGTACATGGATAATTTACTACCCTATATCTCATTAATATCTTTATAATTTACAAACATTCATTTCATTAATAATTACAAACATGTAATGATGGAGTCGATCGCACGGCTCCTCGAATAAACCTCGCATGAGAATTAGGCGAGACGGGAAATGTTGGAATTGGTGCCGTATTGTAGCCTTGTGTGTATTTGACAGGAAGTCTATTATTTACCACCCTATTTAAACCCCTGGATCTTCCACTGCAATAAATAACCACACAATCAATACCTGGATAATTTACTACCATATAATTACAGGAATCTCATTATTATCTTTATAATTTATAAACATTCATTAACTATAATCATGTGATGATAGAGTCGATCGCACGGCTCCTTAAATAACCCTCGCATGAGAATTAGGTGAGACGGGAAATATTGGTAATGGTGCTTTATTGTGGCCTCAGCGAGTCTTCAGAAACCCAGCCACAATTTTGTTAATTCCAAAGTTGGAAAAATGACAAAAATGAAATGAATAAAAATATAATTATTCCAAATACTTATGAAGCTTACTTTACTGAACTGACCTAAAATTATTTATAAGCAGTATATCATTACACTGTTAATTAATAACCTGTAGGTTAATTATAATCACTACTTGGGTGCATCAAAAGACTATCCAACAAAAATCATCTTCTGTCTGTCTCTATAATTTAATCTGGACAGGTGTACCAGGGTTGTACCCAATTAACTTCACCTTTGAGATATATTGGTATCATATTGAGGTACTATGCATACAGAGATTAACTACATGAGAGAAATAAAATAACTACTGTAATAATTAATAACTTCTTTTTAATAAGCAATATGCCTGTATAATTTTATTTATTTTTTTTATGTAGGTAAAAAAAGTATAGGTAATGGATTTGTAGAGGATCAGGGGAAAAAAAACAAGGGAATGTAAAAGGAAGGGATAAGGGTAGGGTTGTTATTTCAAATGGGTTGAAAAGTCAATACAATTGTGGGGGGGGGGGCGGAGGGATGTGTATCCACCCTTTTTTCTACCTTTCCATCCTGCTTTAAAATACTAAAAAATCTGTATCTCATTACTCGTTCCCAAGTTTTTCCTCAAACACCCTTTACATTAGTGTCTTCAAAAAAATATCACTTGTACAATTATTCAAATATTAGTTTCCTCCCTCTGGAGATTGGCATTAAAAAAAACCTCCCTTTCCACCCTAAATCCAGCAAAAAACTGTTTCCTCTTTCAATCGAATTCTAAATTTAACAATTTGTTTGCACGGTGCAGTTTGTTACTTACCGGATTGTTTGCTGGAGATGATGGATCTTGCACGCATGTTCTTGCATGTCCTAAACACATACACTGTCCACCAATAGAGATGTCTTTGACTGAGTAATAGTACTGAAATGACAAAACATTTTAATTTGGAGTTGGTTATACTTTAATGAGCTATATGTTTTTTTTTTTTACAAATAGCCCTATTTCAACAAAATTTGCAATATACAGTACAATGTTTTAAAATGTACCAAATTCACCTTTAAAAAGACAACACTACAAGGGGATTAGATTGTTTACAGCCTGGGAGGTGATGATGGGTGCGAAAATTGTGAAATGCGGAACTAAACTGAGATATAAGAAACATGGGTATACAAACCAATACATGGATACTAATACAACCACCCATTTAACTAATTTGCCTTTGTGAGGGGGTGTTTGCGCCCACAACCACCTCCCCCCCCCCCCCCCCCCCCCCGCCACGCCCCACCAGCCTATGCCCATGACTATGTGTCTATGTTGAGCTGCTCACATTATATAGGAATAATGTTTTGTCGCATAACACCATTGGAATAATTACTTTATATAACCAAATTATTAGCAATCAATTATTAAGAATTAGATGGAAATATTTTCTTTTAATTCTCAACTTCTTGTGATTTTTCCAGTTTTACAACATACAGAATCTTAGTAAATTACTCAATAATATCAAACCGGTAGCATTCCTTAAATATATTTACAATACTGGAATCTAGGTGTGTTAATATGAGTGTTTCAACATTTCTACATCGCATCTTAAAGTTTGTAATCGTATCCTCCTTTACCTCACACTCAAAAGTGCAAATTCATTCAAGTCAGTACAGAATGAATGTCAACCATTAAAACTTTCAATATTACTACTTTTGTAACATTCCACACAATTTCCATAAACATTTGCACGGAATGGTTTTAAATAGTCCGGAATTGGAATGACGATCCCACCAAACAACATTCTTTCTGTAACTGTCATACTCCACGTCAGCTATTATAGTATCATATTGCATAATATGATCATGTGATAGTCTCACGATTCAGAGTGCATTAATATGGCCAACAGACATGACTAAACCATTCTCTATTTTAATATATTTTGATACTTGCTATTTTTGACAATTTTGGTTTCTATTTAATCACTTCCTTCTCTGAGATTGTTGATTACAGTACATCTGACCCCTGACACCTAAGTCAATCATTGAGGTTCTTATCATTATTGTTTATTGCCTACGATTTGTACCTATTGTATCATTATTCTTGCATATTAATTAACTGACTTAGGTTTATCCAACCAGCCTACAGTATACATATGTAAGAGGTTGCTTATTAAGGTAGATAAATTCACCTCCTTCCACTGATTATGTTTGGATTGGATTGGATTTCTTTGGTGTGACACACACCAAGGATAATCCACTGAATTCCAAAAAGGAAGACACATTTCCAGTGGGGTCGTTCTGGTGGTGTTGGGCAATACACACTGGCAGACAATCCCCTGCTTTTTTACTGCATTCGTTAACGTGCACATGGGCCACTGTGCACATGGTGCACTTCTGAAACTAGCATTTCAGTTCTTCAGGTGGAACACAAGGAGAGTAGCTGTAAGAATTGAACAGGAACCAAGCAATCTCCAACATTTCAGCGTACAGGTAATGGCTACCACTAGTTTAGCTGACTGAGCTAGCTGCTCTCTTTGCCACTTTCAACTGAAGAAGACTACTGTATGCTCGAAAGCCTGTGATGAGCCATAATAAACTAGTACCACCACTGCCAGTGTTTTATTCTAAACATTGTATTATTGCCAATCAGTTAAAACACTAATATGATGATTATGCTTTTTAACAATAAAGATAAATTTGGGCTTGCAAAATTCTAATAGGACGCACTTGCATGATCAACCCAAGCATGTCAAGTAGTCATGCAGAAAGGCCGAGTCGCCACAACTTACAGATGTAGGCCTAATATCGGCACTGATTTTGAGAATGGCTTGGTTGGTAGAACAAATTTTGGAGAGGAGGTTCCCTGGGGCTATATAATTCACTCATTAAAGCTGCTGTAATTGTGAACAGGTATGACTGAGCAGCTCATTGGTAGCTATGGATACTCACTGACCACTCCCATTCACAATTTGGAAAAAAATCAGAAATAATGCCAGTAGGAAGAACAAAGAAATAGTCCATTTCAGAATAGGGGTGTTGGTTAAGTCATGGACAGGTGCTACCACACAATTCAGCAATAATGACATTGTGAGTTATAGGTTAATGCCCAAATTTACCTTTAACCTGCCAAATTTTGAAAATCCAGGATGTATATTGTAATTTCAATAAACATAAACATAATTTAAAGTCAAAATGGGTCAAACTTAGGTTATGTCAATTTATGGTGGTGGTCCAGTCTACTAGCTCTCAACATGCATAAAGCGAACATTAAGTGTTGGAGTTGGAGTTCCTTAGTTTACTTTAAAAGAAATTATTCCATTTGTGTACATTAAAAACCAGATTAAATCAATTGGGTCACTTATAAGTGCTTGCAACTGTTACTATAAACTGTAAAGGCCTTTAAAAATCTATAATTAGTCTTGTCTTAACTTTAAAAATAATAAAATAATAATAAAAAAGAAAGAACATCACTTTTTTTTTAATTGCCATGAAACATTACAGTAAGTGGAATCTGGTTAACATATCCCAAAATTAGAGAAATAGTTTACCTTAATACTTCAGTGAAATGTAGAAACAAAACATTGAGATTAGAAAAACAGCAGTAAAATTACATTTATTAGTTTTATCGGTTTTCATTGAAAACAAATGTGGCAGGAGCAAAACAGGAAGCAGATGGAAATGAGAAACTAATAATGACATTATTTTCACTTGGCTCAAATGGAGTAGAGTGGAGCTATACTGTAGTTCTGCGGTTAAGATGGTTGCCTTCCAATCCACAGGTCACAGGTTCAAATCCTAGGAGACACCAGGTATTTTTCTCATGGCAAGAACGACTCCACTCCCTAAGCCCCATAACGAGACATAGTAAAGCATGACAACATGGACAGTTCGTGATTAGGGAATGAATACATATGTAGACCTATGGGACCAAAACTACTTTTAAGATGATATAATATGTCTATGGTAAAGTGCACAAAAACACTAAAAATGTAATAATATTAAATAAATAATAATGAGTTGCAAACTTCCAATGGGACAGTATCAAAGCAATTTAGGTTTTAGCTGATTTACTAATGTTTTACAACAAAAATCCTTAATTTTTTTTATTACCATAGCAGCCAATTTAAGGGTCGTGCAAAAATAGTGTAGGAACGTAGTACAATTTATGCATCTGTTAAATTTGTACATCTCCCTGGTTAAACTAGTAAGGAAAATCTTATTCTGAAAACTAATAACTTATTTAGAAAATTGTATTTTATATTTAAAGCTAATAACCTCCTACATTACTGTATCTAAGTAATTATATTTTATTTAGGAAGTTTATTTAGATCAGATGGTCAGGGTATACTCCAAGATTCTTTTAATTCCCAAAATTTAAACTTCTAGAGCAACAAAAATGATATACTCATAGGTCTAGATCACTTCATTTCTCAGGTAGCCCCTCCCCCTCATCTTCCCATACCACCTTTCCTGTCTTCCCATACTCCTGAATACTACAGTACACTTTAACACTGCAGACTGTATCTCCATAGCAATTGTCAAATAATCAACAAGCTAGATAATAAGGTCTGAGATGATGCTGAAGCTGTAGTTTCTCTGTTGAATAGTAGACTTTCTTATAAGGTGTAAATCAAATTTTCCAAACCATTAACCCAGAATACATGTCCAGTCTCTCCTGAGACTGACAGTAGCAATAAGCTCCGGAAGTAGTTAGCGATGATCATGGAAAGTCAAAATATGCACACTAATGTCAATCACATTCACTAACCCCATTTCCGTGGTATTCCAACATTTTAAAGATGTTTGGGCCAACATTGATTGGAAGGACAAATGCAGTTTTTGGCCTGAAATGGTGGCGGGAGAGGGGTATGAAAATTGAGCATACGGTACTGAATCCTTATTCCAGTGAAACCTTAACAGTTCATTTTTAGTATTTTAACCAACTTACAGGTGAACAACAGTAATTCAATGCATCCACACCACCCCCCCCCCATCTTATGCTACACCCACCACTGATTGAACTATCTAAAATACACTGTCCAACAATTCACAATCTATAATTAATAATTTAACTCTCTTAAAATAAGATTAGAACATTATCACTTGTACAAAATCACAGATATAAACAACTATTAGACTCTCAAAAATCAGTGTTTATGAAACAACACTAATATCGGATTTTCAACCTTTCAACCAATTATAAAATATAACAATAGGGCAAATTGAAGTACTGTATATAATTCCTAAACATGTTATCAATCAGGGTGCATGCTCACTTGTTCAAACCTGTTATTCATCAAATGTGTACTGTACACTGTGACCTAGATTTGGAATCACTAATAAATATCTGATGAAATATATTAACTTGATTGCATTTTATGATGTCAGACAATTTAGGAAAATTCAGGACAAGAATTAGAGTGTTCCTGCAAAATTTGGTAACCCTAGCATTGCTTGTCAATCTACTCAGGATATTTTTCCATCTTCTGAGTAAAAATAACATGAGAATTGCTTGATGTTGGAAAATGTTGTAGTTATATAGGCCTACCTTTCAACACGATATACTGTTATACTTGCGTATAGGGTAACAAGCGTATTATAAGGCGACCCCCAAGTTTCAGAAGGTTTTTGGACAAATTTTGTATGTTGGGCGTCGTATAAAGCACAACCCCCTTTTTGCTGATTTTTATGATCTTGATAGTGCATCTAGCTGGCTAAAAACGGAGCTGATCTTCCAAATATTATGAGATTTCAAAGAGTTAACAAAATTTTCTTTCCCCGTATTTAAAATTGCGTTCATTCATAGGCCTACTAAAATTTTAGTAGCTTCATTTCAGTGGTAAATTATGGATGATCTGCAAAAAAAGACGAACATGATTTTAAAAACCAAAAATTTGTATGTCGCGCGTATAGGGCAACCTCTTATTTTTCTATTGTAATTTGCTATTTTAAGCCTTGTCTTATACGCAAGTATACGGTACTGTAAATATGAAGAAATTTTTCTTTAAGGGTTAAATTAAACTAATTGTAACAGCTGGCTAAATTATTTATTTCATGCCAGTATTCACACTCATAAAAAAAGAGCATTTTACTTTTTAATTCTATGGACTCAAAATAACTGGTAAAATAACTGGTAAATTTCCAAAAGAAACCTACATGATGTAAAAGATATTGATGCCTACTTAGATTCTATGTAAACTACAGTAGTAGATTAATAGCTTGCAAAAATGCCTTGCATACATTCATCTTCAATGAACTACTCTCTCTACTAATACTTAGGAGGAAGTAGTGAAAACTAAATGCAGTATTTCACATGACTTTATTTTGATATGAGCAGTAGCTTGACAAGGGGGTGAGCAGAGGGTGCACAAAAAAATCTTGTGCCCTCCCAGTCACCCTCACACCCATTGAAAAATATACGAAGCAATAAAATCATGCTAATCACCTCATATCACCTTATTTTGAGACCATAATCATCAATGCCCCTACTCCATCTTTGCTCCCCCGATCAGCACCCATTTTAAGACTTAAGTTAAGAGAACTTACCCTTCTTGTTACTAAGGGGTCACTGTTACCCTCTTGCTCTTGCTCACTCATTAAATATCCATGAAGTGTGCGGATTTGCTGAAACCGAAATCTGATGAAACGGGCCATTGTGAAATTCTACAAAAAAAGAATCACAAGTACAGTACAGTGAATAGATCTAAAAATCTTGCTCAAATACAAAAATTTCTAATGAAAAAATATAAAAAGCAATATATGTTTCTAATTATTTTCTGAGAATCAGAAGAAGAAATGTAACGCAACTGAACTTTGGGGTCGCATGTTTGTACCACAATCACTATGGAGATTTTTTTTTTGAAAGTATACATGTTGACATATGTTGAAAATTGCCCACATTTTAAGTAGACTATGAGGACATTTTTTTTTTTTTTTTTTGGATACAGAGTACTATACAACTTAAGACAACAGATTTTATACACCTTTTGTATTGGGTGGTCACTCTGTATGTTTATTTGAGCCCCGGCATATGATCATTTTACGTTGTTTTGTTGGTTTGGATGGACTGTATACATTTTGAAATCTCATTTAGTTTTAACAATCAGATAAGATGCTGTAACACTATTAATGTAAATCGAAAAAATATCATCATCATCTGCATCTATCAGGTCGTAGTCAACCCCTGGTGACATCAAGCATGATTTTCTTCCTCAAAGATCTCAACTGTGTCAGGTACTTTAGATCAAAGACTCCTTCCTGTACTAGTGGTGATTTCCTGCATCCATCGTGTACGCTGACGTTTCCTTCGTCTGCTCCCTTCAGATTTTCTAAGCATTAAAGTCTTGCCAAGACTTTTCCCCGCATCACATGGCCGAAGAAAGAAAGATTTTGCTTCAAGACCAAAGCTTCAAGTGAGGATTGTGGGTTCATAATTGAAATGACCTCATCATTGGGAACTTTCTATGTCCAAGGGAAAAAAAATATATATTAAACTAATAAAAATAATAAACTTTATCTTACAAGAAATTCTTCGGATGGACTCATAGAACTTGATGGTCTTCCGTTAACCAATGATGTGTGTATCTCTCCGTTTTCCAGTGGTTCTAATTTGGAATAGTACGAAGTACAAATCACTTCATCGTCTCGATCAAAATGCCACATGTTGTTGGTTGCCGGGATACCATAGACATTGTAACATTCCTCATTACTCATGGCATAGTACTGCCAGGGCCGGTAGACGATGCCATCAACAGACCGCTCCAAAATCCAGTTGCCGGGGCGCGGCGAGTTAGCAGCTTTTAAGATAACATAAGCGATTTGGAAAACCTGAAACAAGATCATTATTAAATGATTAATGTAAAATCAAATGCATATTCAACATTACATTCAAAAGTGCAAAAGGAAATCATTTGGGTAAATGCTTAATTAAGTTATGATGTGCAATGTTTAAAATAAGAGTGTATCATCTCTTTTTATATAGCTTTTTTAATGTCCATTTTGTATTTTTGTAAATTTTGGCATTTTATTGTTAACTGTTTTATGTTTCTTGCATGGTAAAAATGTTTACAATTTTTTAAGGGCCCCAATAGAAATAAGTTTTATATATTGTAAAACTTTCTTGGGTTACCCTAGGAATGAATGTCTTTTCTTGTTCTTTATCTTTTATCTGTTCTTTGTATTTGTTTTATTTTCAAGTAATCTTGATTTTAATTCCTGAATAAAATGAAATGAAATAAAATACACAAAATTTTTTCCATGAAAAAATTTGTTGAGTGTTTTCTTATCACAAAAATATTTTTCACAAATAAAAAATAAATAAATAACAATGTACTTTGTCCCTTGTGCTGTATTAAAATTGTCAAAAGGAATCACTACTTAATATGGTTGTGTTTGAATACATAGATACTGTTGAATTTAAAAAAGACTGTTTCTACTGAAGATAATCGATAAAACCATTAATAACCGAATGAGACTCTTATGATTTGACAGTTACTCTAAGTATTAATTATCTATGTTCACTGCAAGGGACGCAAGTTCACGCCAGACATAGCGCCAAGAACGCGAGTTCACCTTTACTGCTGTCTAAACATACCACAAGTGAAATGCAGGTAGGGTTTCCGAGAATGTGAACTCTCCCCCTGGAGGTTCAGGGGGAAGAACCCGAAATTAATGATCTAAAATTCGTTTGTTCGTTTTCGATGAGAAAGATTTTTATTATGGTGGCGCACTTTATGCCTTGGCGTATGAGATGAAACACTGAAAAAAACGCTTGGCAGTCAACGTGTTAACTAGGTTAATGCATTCATATTCTGTTTCCCACGGTAAACAAAACTTTGATGTCATCACCCAAAAAAAAAAAAAAAAACAGGTCAGCAATTTCTTAAAGTTCCTTTCATCTTAGAACAAGCATGAGTAGCTTCAGTATTGAAATACCTTATCACCTCAGCTGTTTGGTTCTGTCTCACGTGCCGAACGATGCTCTCTCACCTGATGGTCTGAGTAAACATCATCTCTACCTACAATTCCAATGGACGTGCTTTTTTAAAGTGATGATTTCATCTTAAGAATAACCCAGCTCGTAGGTTGAACAAATATAGATCACTAGAAGTGATAATCTAAGCCGCTATTTTACACTAAGGTGTTTCAATATTATAGTGACAAGTGACCGCGAAATGACACCAAGAAGAGGAGGTAGAAAAACAACCAGAGGAAAGAAGATGTGTCACACATGATTTCAAGATTCTTTAGACACACATTGGTCCATTCAAACACCAATATTTTGTATCAGAATAGTTACGAACTTTTGAATAGACTTAGTACAAAAGACACTAAATACTATGAATTGATTACTTTGCTTGCTATTATTCCTTCATCTGAAAATTAAATGAGAAAATTCTTCCTTGCTAGCTAACAGTTTCAAAAACTAACTATTCCTATACTCTATGCAAAAACTCAAGATGGAATATGATTTAGAAACCAATTTTCAAATGTAATAAAATGACTGCTAGTCAATGGCTTACACTAAATGACAAATATCACAACATGGCTCTCCAAAATTCAAATATATATAAATTATTAAACTGCAAAACAAAGCATTTCCTAAACAGCCCAATCCCATATATGACAAGAATTCTTAACCATCAAATCAAATGATTTGTCCCTGTGGTATTTCTTCCCATTTTACCCCTATCAGCCTGGGCTCGAGCGTCCAATGTACTTTTTTCCCTTATCTTAATGACTTTCCATTTCTTATATTTCAAGATTTTTAAGGTATTTATTGTGTCTTTTCCTTTTAGTTTTTAAATGTGTAGGCTTTTTAAAAATTTTGTGTCACTATTCAGTTGTTATACAGCTATGACCAATCTTACCAATTTGTAATTGTTTTATTGTTTTATGTAATAAAAAAAAAAAGAAATTCATACCAAAGTGACACAAGGCCTAATTTGGAAAACAGGGCAAGTCAAATGGGCCACAGGACAGGGTAGGGTTGCCTATATCTACAGCCTTAACATTAACGTCAGTTTGAGTTGCTGCTTGTCCAGAATTTGGTTGGTAGAATCATGGTATTCTAACATAAAGAGGTTCAGTGTTACACCTCTGGCTCGTCTCATTTTTAAAGAACCCCTTGTGCATCTTTCGGAAGAGTAAGGAAATTAGCCTACAGTATTACTTCTCTGGATCATTTTAACCCATATTGTCGTGGATTGCTGTAAACATACATTTTATTAGCACCTCTTTAGGGCTGATACAGTTAGTCATGGACCACGCCTATGCAATTCAACACAATGACACTGCAAACTTTATGTTTACACTTCTCACTTTACCTTTACCTTAATGATAGGTTTTTGGGTTACAAAAACAATTATAAATGGTAAAGGTAAATATATCGATTTATATAAAGGACATGATATTAAACGTTTCTTATGATTGTTAATAACATCTATGATAGGAAATGTAAAAGACACCATAAAAATAAACTTGATACCAATGTCTTCCTGAGACAGGGTAATTTTTCAAAATGACAGTCTATGACTCACTATGAAAATAAAAAGAATCATAAAAACACTATTGGCATTTAGTGTATACAGTAGAAAAGACCCTGGGAATATTATCATTAATTCACAGACCTGGATATTCTTCAAGTTTTGTAAAACCAGTAAACTCCAATGTTGAGGGTTTCCTACATTTTTTTATTTTAATAAGAACCAGTTAAATTTTTCCAGGGCTCAGTGTTCCTATTTTCTTGCCGATTTCAGACTCAAATATTCTTATTTTGTTTATAATTTTAAACACTTTTCAAGCATAGCAAATAATTTTTTTTTTACATCAGTATATTACAATACAGATTACTATACTGTTATCTATGGTACAAATAAGATTTTGGGGTTTTTCTATTTTTTTAACTAAAAACCTCATCAGAAATTTTACCTCAGCCTCAAGTTGTTCTTACAAAATGTGTCCTTATAAAAAAAAAAGTACATAACAATAACCAAATTTTGTTACATTATATATTTCTATTTGTAGATTTGTAAATTCTTATTCAATATTTAATAAGAAGATTAAGATAGTTAAGTATTTTCATGGTGATGGTGTAGTTTGGGAAAAGTGTAAAAATACAGCATTAATGATATCATTGATACATAATAACATTTAATTAAACTACTGAAACATAGTTTAATAGGGCGATATTCAACAACTTTCACCTGAACCCATGCCAGGGAAGAACTAGCAACGAGAGGGGGGAAAAGGGTGGAGAAGGTGCCTCTAACCATTAGGATGAAAAAAAAATACAATCTCTAATCATTCAAATTACACTTTCAAATATATTGAAAATCTGATGTAACTTTTGGGGCTTCATTATTGGGCACCAGCAACTGAGTGCCAAGCCTGCTCTTGACGGCCCTTCTGGAGAGTTTAATTAGACCCTCACGAGACACACCAATAAGCAATAATTCTGTTTTCATTAATTTACAAACAATTGAACAAAGAAAACACATAATTTTAATACCATTTATATTTTTAAAGTATAATTGGCAGAGACCATATTTTCTCACTCTAATTTTCACTTAGTAGGCTAATACGGTAACTAAATGGGAGGTTAGTAAAGTTTTATTTGATTTGCATATATGGATTGGATTTTTGTACATAAAAGTAATTAGCTAAAAATAGAGATGCAAATGGCGATCTGTCCTAATTTGACAGGCGATCTGTCCTAATTTGGCAAGGTTAAGATACCTCACCAGGCAAGCCTTTTGGACCAAAAAAAAATCCTCCTTAAGGACCATCTGAATGTGAACCACCTGCAGTGTCTACCAATGAAAGTACATTTCCAGGTAACTGGCAAGGAAGTCCTTTCTTGATTTATAATTAAATGAGAGAGAGAAGAGATATACTTGAATTTTATTGTGAATTTAATGGGGAACATCCAGACAATATATGAAGACACCAGCTAGGCTGTCTCTGGTCACACCACTTTCAAAGACATTATGTATCTACTACTGTTACAACATTTGGACAACACATCTGTCAACATGACATTACGATATCAACATAAAACACTCTGATGATGGACTCCTGTTTGTGATGCTGAGTTATGATGATGGCGGCAACTAAAGTCTGTACTTAAACTCCCACACATGGAATTCAAACATCTAAAAAGTGACCTTTTTTTTTATTATTTTTGTGTGATTTATGTTTTGTATTGTCAGTCACAGTTTTCTTTAAATCTGATTTTGCTTTCACTTCTAAATGTGAGATGTAAACTTTTACCCTTTTTTGGGATTCTATGTATAATTTTAGTGGTTTGGTATCCATTTGACTTTTCATTCATTTAAACTGCAGATATGTAGCCTAAAACTGTAATTATATTATTCAAATCGAAATCAATGGCACCCAATAATAATCACCATTTCATAACATAATTATTCATAAAGTCATAATTATATTCATTAGATAAGCAGGGGCATAGGCTGGTTTTAGTAAGAGGGAGGAAAACGTGCGAAAATTGAAGATGCGGAACTTAATCCCTAATGAAACTTAATGGTCATTTTTAGTATTTTAACTCATCAGTAGAACCAATTTGCTACCATGGGGGTGTCTGCAAACCCCAACCCCTGGCATGCTAATTAACCTGCTGACTTTCCCCTTTTTGGAACCTCCTTTCTTTTTAATATCTTTCCAGTCCAATGGCAATAGACTTGATGATGTTATCAGGATAGAGCAGGGAGTTGTTATAGTGTATAGGAGCCATGCTTATTAACTTGATATACAGTAATTTGCCATCTACATCAGCATCCATCATGTCTCAAATATCCCATACAGTACCA